TACTATATTATAATATGTATATTATATGGCTTAAAGTGTACATTCGCTCACATTATAAATGATGGTCGGGTTGCATTTTTCTGGAACTTTTTAACAAGGTTAATCTAAAATATTATAGTGTGGTGGTTCGATACCTCGTGTTGATCTGTGGCGCACTCATAACGCGCAGGGCTGGAGTGACTTTTGCTGTTTCTAACTCGGGTTTGAGTCCAGCATGAACTTTTTTGTTATTTTCATGTCGATGGACACTGAATATTATGTAGTTTGAATAAAGGATTCCTAATATTGTTTGCCGAGACCAACATTAATGACCCATCAGCATTTTAAAGTCTAATATCCCTGCACATGCAGCAATGACATTTCTGCTGCTATCTTTGCAAAACGAGTTAACAGCATGTTATCTGGATGAGTGCTGCAGAATGCCGTTTTTATAAGGCATGTAGATGTGTGTGTCTTTCATATTAAACATGATCGCTGGTCACAGCGACAGAAGTCGTAACACAGTTTAACCTGGGCGGATCCCATTTTCCCATGGGTGGATCCCAGTTGACCCTGAGCGAATCACAGTTTACCTGAGAGGAACAGTTTAACACAGCTGAAAACTTCTCCACGCTGCTTTCAAACTCTGAGTAAACAACGCACGCTTCACTGGGAGGCTGACTGAAGGTGTACACATGTTTCAGATGGACTTGGTATCACATTAGGAACGATATTCAGTGATAAGTCGGGCAACAATAGCTGGTTTTAATGATGTATTCGAGCGGATCACAACTTAACACAGCTGAAGACTTCTCCACGCTGCTTTCAAACTGTGAGTAAACAACGTGTGCTTCTCTTGGAGGCTGTCTGAAGGTGTACACAGGTCTCAGATGGACTTGGTATCACATTAAGAACGATATTCAGTAATTAGTCTGGCAACAATAGCTGGTTTAAATGATTTATTGGAGCTCGCAATGTTTTGAACAGACATCCCCATGTCAACTCGTTTTTCTTTTTGTAGTCCTCGCTGTTCGCGTCCGGATATCGTCATCGTAACCACAACCTCACACACTGGTACTGAATGTGCATCAAAGTGTTCCTATCGAAGCCTAATATACCAAAAGATTTATGTAAACGACAGAAGAAGCGATCGAAATGTGTATTTCAGTCGAAGGCCACGCCTCCACATCTGTCAACCAGTTGATCGGGGAACCAGTTAATCCGGAACACCGGCCCACTTCGGTACCGGCCCATCGGGATTCGTCCCGATGGCCAGTCCGCCACTGCACCCAGCCCACGTAAACTGTCAACGGGGGGAGCCTCGCTGCGAGGAAACGGTGGACCTAGTGTCCCGATCGGAGTGGGAATAATAATAATAATAATCCGTGCATTTTATCCATTAATTTCCCCAACATTGTGGTGTAAAAAACACACGTTTAATCCATGTTGGTGTATTACAACTACAAAAAGCATCGGTTTGTTTTCTCATCAGGATATGCAGACCGGCTCAAACAAACGATTTGTAATCATCATTCTCACGCAGGGGCGGCGCCAGGGGGGAGCTAGGGGGTGCTGAAGCACCCCCAGGATTGCCAAAGCACCCCCAAGAAATATGTGTTTTTTGTTTTTTTCGAAAATTATTATTATTATTTTTATTAAATTAAATTAGAAATATTATTGATTACATCAATGCATATGTGAAACAAACACATTTTTGACCAAAAACAAAGCCAACACAGGTGATATGATTAGGCCAATGGCCAGCACCCATTCGATGTTTGACCTACCCATAGGCTAAATTACTTTGTGACACTTGAGTGACTTCCTGTTAGCTAGAGCGCCAAATGATTTGCTAACAGCAAAGTGAAAAATGGATCGTTTTTTAGTCCTTAAACGTCCACGTGTGGACACTCAATCAAAACCAACTGAAAGCGAGAGGGATTCTGCACATAATAGGCCTTGTGAGTACAAGTAGCTTACTTCTGGGTCTCTGTGTTTCATTCAAGCCCTGCTCTGTGTGTGTGTGTGTGTGTGTGTGTGTGTGGTGTGTGTGTGTGTGGTGTGTGTGTGTGTGTGTGTGTGTGTGTGTGTGTGTGTGTGTGTGTGTGTGGTGTGTGTGTGGTGTGTTTGTGTGTGTGTGTGTGTGTGTGTGTGTGTGTGTGTGTGTGTGTGTGTGTGTGTGTGTGTGTGTGTGTGTGTGTGTGTGTGTGTGTGTGGCACGAGCCATTTTGTGTGCGTGCGTGCGCGAGCGAGAGAGCTCGCCTCGCGCACCAGTGGGTATCTACCGGGAGATCGTTGTGGTTAGCATCTGGTGCTAGCTAGCCAAGCTAATGGATATAAGGAGCTTTTTCAACAACAAGGTGGAGGGAGAACTCTCTCCTGTCAGACGGAGAGTCTCAGGTAACCTCAACTCAGGTGAAGTAAAGGTCTCTCTCAGTGTTTAGATAGTTAACTTTAGTCTAGTTATCTCAGTGGGTCTCAAACGGTTTGTTTTAAAAGGGGAGTGATTTGTAAAATATCTATAAAGAAATAGAAAATCTGTTGACAGTTCTGTTTCGTATGGGTGTTGAGAGATGTATCCATAGATCTCTTAATGTTGCTCTCAAAGTGCACCAGATTGATGCTTTTAACTTCAATATTTAACAAAAAATCTTCCCCGGGGGAGCTAGCCCCCGGACCCCCCTAGAGGAGGTGAGGACCCTCCTAGAGGAGGTGAGGTCCGCTCCCCACTTGTAAAAATAGCACTTTACCCCTGCCTATATGCCGTGAGCTGATTATCGAGCCTTCATTGTAACAGTCGCGGGTGCACTGTGTGTGTGTGCGTGGGGAGTGTTGCAGTAGAAAATTCAACTGTAGCGCTGGTGCATTAATGGGAAACCCTACATGTTTGAGCACCCTCTATGAAACGTCAAGCTACCCCACAGCACCCCCTAGAGAAAATCTCTGGCGCCGCCACTGTTCTCACGATCATTTAATCTATCGAATTGACATGAAAGCACTAATAAATGTAGTTTCATCCACTTGAGTTTACAACTACAAAAATAATCAATTTGTTTTTATATCACATCCTACGGGAGGAAATTCAGTAGCTCTCACTACCGATTTGTAATCCTAATGTAATAATCATCTTCACCACGATCATTTATGTTTATGTTCGCCGAATTTACATGAAAGCACTGACAAATATGAATATACTGTAGTCAACTTCATTAAAACGTTATTAACGTGCCTAAACTCAGTAATTCACCATTTCTACGCATGACAACACACTTTGTCCGTGTTTGGCTCTCTCGCCGCACAGTGAAGCGTTCCCGCATTGACGTCACTTCCGACAAGTTTCCCCGCGAAGTTCGAAATTATTGATATTTAACGGAACGGTATCGCTTTTTCTTTTTTAAACTGACGGTTCGAGATTACCAGTAGCCCAATATTTCATTGCACAACAGTTGTTGGGATGCTGTCACAGGCTCTTTAAAGCATCCAGTGCTGCAGACAGTCCAGCAACCTGGGTACACTGGCTCCTGATCCCTGCACTTAAGGCATTGGGGAGATGTTATCCTCCACACAGAGCCTGCATCCCACGATGCTTCGGCAGCAGGAGGAAAACATGGGTCCAGTCATTGTGTCTTTGTCTTTGTGTCGCTTTTGTACCCAAAATGGTATAGGCAGAGAGCGAGTGCACGATTCCCAACTGGAAGTAGTGGTTGCTAAAGCAGCTGTTGAGGTGAGGTAGGCCTATGGCTTAATTCAGTGATGTAAAGTAATTACGTAGATTTACTCAAGTACTGTACTTATTACTTAATAGAGTGGTGTAGTGAAGCCTCCTAAAACCCGGAAGTAAGTTCCTTCTGGTTCCCTCGACAAAAAAGCTATGCAATTTCGCCATAGGATTTTGGAAAATAGCTCGAAATAATGTCTGTGGTTGACACACATTTAAGAGACGGATCACGTTTTGTTCAGTCGGATAATCTCCACATGTCTACCCTACTTTTATAATTTTATAATCATAAATCGAATCGAAAGATTTATGATTTTAGGACGTGTCACTGCACGACTCTATAGACTACTGTTGGGTTTCGGAATGCTGGAAGGAGTAAATGGCCAGAAAGAATCCAAGAAACTTCTTGTAAAATTGACAGGGTTTTAATTATAGTAAACATGACGTTCCTCTGAGGCTGCGACGGGAGAGGGGCCGTATAAACGTTTCAGCTCCGATTATAAACTCTCTGGTACTTCCAGTCTTCTCCCATTGGTTGGCGGCGTCATATTCCGTTGCCCTCTATTGACGTAGCAAAACATCCATTGATTGATTGATTGATTGAAAAGTTTATTAACAGCTTGTATATTGGGTACAGTACAGTACAGCTCAAAACATACAATTGTTAAGGGGATGCAGACCAGAGAAAGACTTTCGTCTTGGTTACATCAGGGTCCCCCATTTCCAATTCATCATATCATTTAAGACATATAAGACCTATTTTACATACAGATGGCTTATTTACAATTCATAAGCATTTAAATAGCTATACATGATAGTTAACCATATAGTAACAGTTGATATGTTAGCATCGATGAGTGGCAGTTGGAGACGGTGTGTTTAGTATGTAACGACACACGTTTGTATCCATCTCTTCACTATGCTGCTTGATATGCTAAATCCTACTGTGAATGCTAAAAACAATGCAACTTACGGTTCCGGAAGCTACTACCCTCGATATTTGTCCGTGGGGGAACAATACATCAGTGGACTAAAGTTCCGGTTTCATTTGTATATTGATTATTCTCACAATACAAACAAATGTAACGAGCCCTGAATTATGGGTTTTCTTTGAGACGTAGGAGCTGAGTTGAGGCTTAACAATGATGTGACAGAAATACTCACTAATAACTTTGGACATAATTGTGTAAATAATAATGAGATAACTATTCTGGGGTTTTTTGGTTTCAATTAGAACTAAAAAACAAATGGTTAAAACGTACCGTGGTCCTATTTAGTTTTAGTTTTGTGTTTACAAATTCAGACTGGACCAACATATGGAAGAAAAATGATGACTGGTTACCTGGCCTCAAAAGGAATCCGAGCATCAGAGGGGCGTGTTGGTCGTGTCCTCAGAGAAACTAACCAGCCATATCATGCAGATCGGTATCGTGTAGGTATTATTAAAAAACATATAGATTTTCCTGTATTGTACATTGCTGTGAACATATTGTGAGAACAATAACATTGTGTTTAATTCCTCAGAGATAAAGGAATTTAAATCCAGTGCCATACAGTGCAGAGTACATGGGTCACAAATTGCACATTGACCAAAACGAGAAACTGGTGATGTATGGGGTGACCCACGTCCTTGCCTTGGACGGATTCTCCAGCAACATTGTACGCCACTCCACCATGCCAGTGAAAAAACAACCTGACCATATATCAAGAGGTTTACCAGTAAGTTTCAGTGCCCTGTTTCTGTTATAATAATATCCTAATAAACAGCAGACAGTAAATAATTTAGTAAACATTTAGCTAAATAAAAACACAATGGCTAAATGTAGCTTTATTTGAACAGTTTTATTTGGGAAAAATATTGTAAATCGAAAACTACTGACAGGTAACCACTGTATATTGTACGTTACTTGGTAATTGATTGATGAGATCAACATTTTAACTGCGTACACAATTCGCTTTAGCAATGCTTAGGTTGTAACAACAATGAAATTCTGTTACATGTCATAAGACTTTTGTATTGCTGTTTTGCAGGAGTGCTGTCCTACGATATGGAATGTGGGACCAAATCCGAGTAGACCATGGAAAATAATTCTACTTGACTCTTTTCATGCAGGAGAAATTGGCAGACTACCGGAATAACACAGGCAGACAGCCATACATGCAAACAAAGTCAACACAGGCGAGTTGTTTTTTTATCTGAATTGCAATCAACGTGTTCATACATTACATTACATGTCCCTTGTTAGACGCTTTTATCCAAAGCGACTTACATACTCAATACTGTGGACAATCCCCACATAGCCATTTTTGTCTTGTATTCCTCACTTTATCTGCTGTAATCATGTAAATTACCCTGTGGCGAGACAAATAAAAGATTTCTGATCTCATTCCATTATTCACCCAACTGCTAGCTGATAAAGCTGTCAATAGACCCATGGCGTTCACTAAACTTCTCTAGGGGAGTGCTAGCTTTTTCCTATGACATAGGAGAGATACACAGTACTTTTGAACTGGATACAACATGAAATGGATCAAATACAAAGCCGGAAATTGGGAAATTAACAATGGGAAATTACAATGTGCTCTCTACATTTGACTCTTCTCATTTTTGTTTACTTTAAATTACAGAATCATATTATAGAAAGGATGTGGCCAGAGGTAAACAACAGGGTAAACTACCCTCTGAAAGGCGCACTCAACCACCTTGTTGACCAGGAGGAACTAAACCTCGAAGACAACATCACACGATATTGTGTGTCCACTCTTACCTGTCAGGTAGCCAAAATTGGACTTGACCGGATGGTGCAGTCCTGGAATGCACACAGAATCCAAGGTTTGTATAGCAGTTTTCAGAATGTTACTTATGCCCCATAACAAATGACCTTCTTTATGTATTTTTATAAGTTGTACTTATATCCTACATTTGTTTCTCTCTGTATCCCCTTTTTTACACGAGGTTGATGGAAATGTTTAAATGTGGCATGTATATATTACAATATTTCAATAATTGTCTGAGTAAAGACATATCTACTATCTAGTTTATAGATTGCTCTTATTGCATGAAACATATATATCTGGTAAGTACATAAACAGTCAAATTAAAAACATACTTTTTAAAGTTTGTAAGAAGTGTACTAATAGCACAAGTACCATTTTTTGTAAGGGCAGGCTATGGTTACACGCTGTGTGAGGTTCATTGATATGCATGATATGTAACATTACACTAACAATGGCCACTTATTTATGTTTTTTTTTTTAAGGTAAGGGTATCCCAGATCAACTTGCTCATGGTGGGTGCCCAAAGAGACTGCCTGCAGATCTTTTGCCTGCAGCTACAGATGCTGCAGACTGCTATCATCAGGAAGTGGGGTCCTCTCTGACACGAGTGTCGCTGTTTGGGAGAAACCCATTTGCCACTGTGGAGCACCAGACAGCAGCTGAACAAGAATTTGCAAGGAACTATGCGGACATTGCTGAACTCTTTGAGCGTGCCATTCATAACGAGCCAGCACCATTCCAAAACGGGATAAAGGATCTCATAGGCATTGTAAGAAGATATGTGTAAAGGCAAGTGCAGGGATCAGGAGCCAGTGTATACCCAGGTTGCTGGACTGTCTGCAGAACTGGATGCTTTAAGGGCCCTACCCTAAAGTGGACAGCAGTTCAGTTGTTTATTGTTAAGTTTATTAGTACGTTTATTGTTTATTGTTAAGTGCCGTGTGTTCAAATTCCAGGTTCCATGATATCATCATACAGAAAATTATTGTTGTAGTTTTCTTTAGCTGTATGACTTGTTAATTGTTCATCTGCAATGTTTAATAAATGGAAAATTGTTTGAATGTGTGTCCATGGTATGTTTAATTATGTTTCTAAACACAGGCAAATAGCTGCAAGGCAATACAATCAAACACTATTATTTTATCATCCACGCACCAACAGAACATTTGGAAATCAACCATTAATCAGAGGTTGTCGAAGTAATCAGATCTTGTACTTGAGTAAAAGTAGAAGTACTCAGATCTTGTACTTTAGTCAAAGTAGAAGTACCAGAGTGTAGGAATACTCTGTTTCAGTAAAAGTCCTGCATTCAAAATGTTCCTCAAGTGAAAGTAGAAAAGTATTATCATCAAAAAATAGTGAAAGTCGCGACAGTAAAAGTAGTCGTTGTGCAGATTGGTCCATTTCAGAATAATATATATGATATGTTTTATAATGATTGATCATCAAAGTGTTCTCAAAGCTGGTAAAGGTGCAGCTAGTTTGAATGACTTTGTATACTGCAGGGTAGCTTGTGGATTTACTCCAGGTGGAACTAAAGTCTGATTTAACACTTGATTACATTTCACATAATTAATCCAAATCTGTAAAGTTACTAAAGGTTTTAAATATATGTAGTGGAGTAAAAGTGGCTACGCTTTAAACTCTAAAATATAGTTACAGAAAGACAGACAGACAGACATCGAGATAGAAAGACATCGAGACAGACATATACATAGAAAGACAGACATACGGATAGACTGTCTTCTGTACTTGTATGTATGAATATAATAATATACGTATATTTGTAACGCAGTCTAAAGGCAAAGACGTAGAACCTTTATTTTGAAGAGTACAGCGCAAGCATAGGGCACACTAGCCAATCAGAAGCAAGGAGGCGCTGGAGACACACCCACTTATGGAAACGAAACATTGAGTAGTATACTTGTTTTAACAGTAAGAACAGAAAAACGAAAAAACGAGCTGAATTTCCGTTTTTTCGTTTTGGGGCAAAATTGAAAAACAAAAAAACGACCCGTTTCTGCTTTTTTTTTTTTCAATTAGAACGAAAAAACAAACGGTTAAAACGTACCTTCGTCATACACGGATTCCAAAAACGCCTTGTATTTCAATTTTGGTTTTTCAATTTGAAAACGAAAATCAAATATCCAGTCGTTTTTTGTTTTTGAATATCCATTTGTGAAAAGAAAATCACAAACGGTCAGTGTATGTTTTGGTCATTGGACTTCCGGTTTGTACTGTGTCGGTAAATCCAGTGTCCAGCTTGCCGTTCTGTGACAACCATAGACTGGTGACAGCGTCATGTTTGTTGCATACCTGCAAGATAAGATAAGAACTATCGCCCTACTTTCACCTGCACCCAGCAGCAAGCGGGAGAACGATATATCATACAGTCGACCCCTACAACAGTTCACACAGTAAATGGAACAGTTGTTAATTTGTCCAACTAGTCTACATTATGAATTTGATGTTTGTCTAAACTGCTAATTTTATTTTTATTTATTTAACCTTTATTTAACCAGATAAAAGCATTGAGATAGAATCTCATTTGCAATGCTGACCTGGCCAAGAAGGCAGCAACGTTACACATAACACATAACACAAACATATAAAATACAGAGAACATAACTAAGAAAACAAAAGACAAAAAAGCAGTCACTACATTGTGCACATTAGGACAGTAAGAAGCTGACAGCTGAGGTAGAACAGAAAGACATGCAGGCCATAATCACTAGACGCTCAAAAGTGTGTGTGTAAGGGTTACATGAACTGAATTGAAACACTGTCCATTAGTTGATTAATAAACAAGACATTCAAGTCAAAGTTTTAGGCATTTTCATGTGTAGCACGCTGTAAATATGGACTGAACACATGCAATGTGGAAACACACAAATAGGTTTATTCTCAATACTCATAACAGTATCAGACACAATGACTTTACTGAGATTGAAGATGACATGAACATAGTTACTGTATGGTACTGAAGACAAAATACAGTATATTGCATTTACCTCTTCCTCTAACTCTCTCTCCAAAAGTGGCCTCCATTTTTGTGCACAACAAAGTGTTCAAGCTCAGGGTGCAGGGGCTTGATAATTGAGTGTGGTATTTCAGTGGCAGTGTTTTGCAAACAACACACAGGCTGTTGGTTTTGAATAACGTGTCTAATGTAAATAAGAGTGTGCAGTTATTTGGTTAATCCAGTGTCCAGCTTGTCGCTGTGTGACAACGTTATGTTTGTTGTGATATACCTGCAAGATTTACCTGTGACAAATGTCAGCGATGTAAACAGAAATGTCGACCTACTTTCACCTGCACCCAGCAGCAAGCGGGAGACATGTTTCAAGTTGTACTTGTGAAGTTATTTCTACAATTAGGAGGGTGAGTAATTAAGCTTTTATTTCTGTAACATTAAACTTATTGTTTTTCTTCAACAAGTTTGACTACATTGAAAGACAGAGGAGGGACAGTATGTGCATTCTTAATGAACATACTTTGTATTTTAGTGTCAGGGTATTATGCTACAGGTCCATGAGGACAGGCCCCACAGTGAGTTCAGGGGGGTATACTACGAAGCAGGATTTTCGCTTAGCCGGCTAAATTCAGGGAAAACTCCGGCTTTCCGGTCCTACGAAGCTGGTTCTCTTTTTAGCAGGCTAGATCTCCATGGTAACTTATGCTTAGCGGCTAACCTGGTCGGGACCAGGTTAGGTTGCAGGCTAAGAGCTCAACTCAGTGAAAGCACTGCCTGCTGACCAATCAGAGCTCAGTGTGCGGAGTTTAAAGCGATCAAGTCATATTACAGGAGAAAGGAAATACAGAAAAGCTGCCGTCGCAGGAAAGACGGCCGGCAAAAATCACCGACTGTGTGAACGT